AGGGACCTGTGGATAAGGTATGGCGAATCTGTGGAAGTGCGTGTCAGAAGTAGATCGCTAATGTAGATTTGAGATGTTTACTTAGAAATCTAAGACTGTTTACTGGAGTCCTGTGAAGAGATTCATATTGTTTAATTAAAGCACAGTAGTAGAATTTGATAAATATCATTTTTCCTTGATAAAGTGTTCAATAAACTTGTGTTGGACCATCCCCGACTTCTGCTCCATTTGTCTATCTCAAATACCTTCCACTATTCAACAAGATACGTTCCCACGAGTAAAAAAAAATCCACAGGCCTACCATACATGGTTAATTTAGAGGCTAAAAACATTCTCAAATTAAGAAAAAGCAAATAATTGCAAAGTTAAGATGGCATGTCGGAAAAGCGGACAGGGGATAATAACCAGCAAATAATGAATAAGGAGGGAAACATTAGAATATGGGAGAAAGCTATGTAGAAAAATCAGAACAATTTCCACAAACATTTGAAAATGAAAAGTTAAGATGAAGGATAAATCTGTAGAATTAATGAAAAATGAGAGATTTGATGAATTGAACAGCTATTTGCATTGGTCTTCACTATAGAGGTTATAAGTATCATTACAGAAGCGGTTATAAATCAGGAATAAAAGGGAGGGAGAATTCAAAAATCACAAGAGAAGTGATGCTGAATAAATTGTAGGAGCTGCAGGCTGACCAGTGTCCTAGGGGCTTAAATGAACTGGCTAGTGAGGTACCTGATGCAATTTTCCAAAGCTCCCTTAATGTGGAGAAAGTACCATTAGATTGGAAGATGATAAAAACAACTCCTATGATCAAAAAGGGAGGGAGACAGAAAACAAGAACATGTGTGTCAGTTTAATATTTGTCATAATGAAAGTATTAGAAGCTATTAATGAATGTTGCTGATCTGATTAGTAAATTTGCAGATGAAACGAAAATTGGTAGAGTTGTAGACGCTGAGGAAGGTTATCAAATAATAGAGCAGGATATAGATCTAATGTTGGAAAGTTGGGCGGAGAGATGTCAAATGGATTTCAATCCAGACAAGTGTCAATCATTTTGGGTGGTCAAATGCAAGAGAAAAGTAAATGGCAGGATCCTTAGGAGCATTGATATAGAGGAATCATGGGGTGCAAGTCCATAGCTCCCTGAAAGTGGCAACACAAGTGGATAACATTGTAAAGAAAATGTACAGCATGCTTGCCTTCATCAATCAGGGCATGGGTATAAAAGTTGGCAAGTCATGTTAGAGCTGTATAAAGCTTTAGTTAGGTCACATTTGGAGTATTGTGTGAAGTTCTGGTCTCCACACTACAGAAAGAATGTGAAGGCTTTGGAGAAGGTGCAAAGGAGGTTTACCAGGATGTTGACTGGATTGGAGTCTATTAGTTATAATGAGATGTTGGACAAACTTGGATTGCTTTTGCTAGAGCGTCAGAAGCTGAGGGTGACCTGATAGAAGTATATAAAATTATAGAGGCATGGATAGGATGGATAGTCCAAATCTTTTTCCCAGTGTGGAAATGTCAAATACTAGGGGAAGGCAAGGTTTTTACACAGTCTGCGGTATGTTCCTGGAACGTGCTGCAAGGGATGTGGTAGAAGCAGATGCAATAGCAACATTTAAGAGGCTTTTAGGCAGACACCTGAATGGGCAGGGAATAGATGTGGACCATCTGCAGGTAATTGGGATTAGTTTAGAATGGCAAGATGTACAGTGGGCTGAAGGGCCTGTTCCTATGCTGTACTTTTCTGTGTTCCATTATAGCAGACCATAACCTTTGTTTAAGATAATCAGGCTGAGTCAATGCTGCTATTATTTTTGCGCAATTTGTTGGAGTTCTTTGAGGAAGTACAATCTCCTGTGGATAAAGGGAAATTGTTAGATGTACTTAGATTTCAAAAAGCCATTTGACAAAGTATTACATCAAAGGTTATTGTGGAAAGCAAAAGCTGATTTTGTTGGGTGTATGATGCTATGAGTCTGAGATTGGCTAGCTAGTATGGTGGCTCAGTGGTTAGCACTGCTGCCTCACAGTGCTAGGGACCTGGGTTCAATACCAGCCTCAGATGACTGTGTGGAGTTTGCATGTCTGTGTGGGTTTCCTCTGGGTGCTCTGCTTTTCTCCCCAAGTCCAAAGATGTGTAGGTTAGGTGGATTGGTCATGCTAAATTGCCCCTAGTGTTCAGGGATGTGTGGATTACCCACGGGAAATGCAGGGATGGGGTGAGTCTTCATGGGATGGTCTGGAGAGTTGGTGTGGACTTGTTGGGCTGAATGGCCTGTTTCCACACTGAAGGGATTCTATGATGAAGTGAGCTACAGCCAGCAGGTATTTGTTTTGACCTTTATGCCAGGAATTGGCACAGTTTAGTTTGTCAGGTGGGGAGGGGATAATAGGAAGCTGTGTAGAAATGAGGTGGGATTAGCTAATAATGACATACAACAAATACAAAGGAAATCAAGTGGTTGCCGCTTATTATGAGTTTCAGAATTCATCGTCTAAACCTTATCGGGAAAACCTGAACTATGTTTCTTGACTTTAAGAATTCGATTTTCCCATTTTCTCCGTATTTACCTAATTTTCTCACCATTGTCTATACCCACTTGGATGGAAAATTCTACCCAGAGTCTTTGAATATTTTTAAGATAAAGGTGGATAGGTTCTTGGCAAGCAAATGGGTGAAATATTGACGACAGTAGGCAAGGATGGGGTTTTGAGGTTACAATCAGATCAGCAGGATCTATTTAAGTGAGGCTCAGGCTCAAGGAGCTGAATGACTAACGTGTGCTTCTTGTTTGTACGTCTCACTTACTTTAGTAGTTAGCCAGGAAATATTAGAAGGATATAAACCTGTTATGACCCAGCAATAATAAAGCTGATCTCTAATCACAATCCTACCTCCCTCAAACCTGACCCCTGACTCCACAGTACATCCAACCACAAATTTTTGAACTCAATTTTGACTCCTAAGGGCTACAGGATCCCTGAGCAGAAAAAGAGATTGTGTTGCTTGCACTGACCCTCACTGGAGCAGTGCTGTGCTCAACATCAAATTCAATAATTTTGTAACACGAACACCTTCTTCCATGTCCTTTAACGATCCCCAAACCCCAGCCCCTGTCATGACATGGGCCCCTTTCAGCACACCCAACCCATTTTTACTGACTAATGGGCCCATTATCAGTTTTTCTTTCCTCTGAGCATACTATTATCCATTCGTTTGCCTCCCACAGTGTTGTTCTTTCTCTCTGGGCTCCATCTCCACCTGTTATCTCACTCCTTCTCCCACCCCCCAGACACCAGCATATTTACCATCTTTTCCTAGCTACCATCAGTTCAGAAGAAAAATCTCTGGACTTGAAACATTAACTGTGCGTTATCTTCATAGATGCTGCAATTTCTCCTGCAGTTTCTGTTTTTATTTAACTGATTGGTTGATCTGGGTCAGCAATATGGGTTCAATCTCAATTTTCCCTGAGTTCTATTTTGAAAACCTAACATCAAATCACCCATCTGACGACTTAAACTAGTAACAAGTTACAACCTCTGCCTACCAGGACCAATGTTCCTGAATTTATTTCCCAATCCATAAACCACAATAAATAAAGAATCTTTTCGCTGTCCTGCCACTCAAGTTCCAAATGCTTTGGTTCCCTCATTGCAATGTTAATCAGCTGACATTTCCGGGAGCAAAATTTTGCTGATGCACACAAAAAAGCATTTTTAATTCAACAGACACCACTGCAGAAAAATTTGTAGCCTAATTTATTTTGAAGTGTTGTAATTGTTTTGTAGGCAATCTTAAATACTAAATTGTACACATCAAGAACCATAAATAAATGATCAGGTAATTTCTTTTTTTGAAGTACCCTATTATTTCAGGGTGTCTTGACTACTTGAGCAATGCAATACTTTCTGCACGTAAATGTTGAGTGAACTGTGTGATCAAGTCTGAATTGCAGCTTGTATTCACAATTGTTTGCCTCAAATGTGTGAGTTGCCAATGAGCCATATGACTTCTTAGAGAAATAGTGAGGATGTGTGCTGAAAGGTGCTGGTGTCATTAGGTACTGAGAGGCCTGTGTGCATTTAGAGGAGTAGTTGAGATTAAAACCCCATGATAAATGGAACTCATAACTTTTAACCACAGGAGAGATATGTTTCATGATATTGTACACTGAGAATATATAAAATGGCATAGGAAGAGACACTATGTTCAAAAGAATACTCAATGGCAAACACCCGCTCAGTTCACTGTCCTCAAAATTCTCAGTTGCCACTCTTTTCTGGATTAACATGATTTTCACTTAATAGAAGGTAGATTATATGATCCCACTTGTTGTCCATTTCTCCTGCCCATTATGGAATCACTTTTCATTTAAAAAATACAAAACCCAAATATAGCAATAATATCACAAGGCGTTTCCTGACTAAATTATATTTATTTTAATTATTTCTCCAATTTACCATTTTGATCTCACGCAGGTTCCAGTATTTACTCTTTGCCTTGATTATGCATCGAATCAATTTGAATAACTGAGCTTACTGCTCTCAGTTTAATTTGCCTCCATTATTAGGGATCTAAAGCAGTATATCAATATGTCTGCATGAATATGGTTGCACCTGTCACATTGCACTCTTCTGTTTGTCTAGAGCTTCATTTTGTATTTTCATTTGTCCAACGCATTATTGCCCTGTTCAAAAATATCCATTTAGATTACCCTTTTACATTTGTTATCCTTAAAGTTGACTGACTGTTTTCCTTTTTATTCATTCTTGGCTTTGATTGTTTTAAAACCAATTATTTTCTTTGCACCATATACTTATGATTCTGTTTTGCAAATCTTTGAATTAATGAGATATAAAATACAGCTTGAAGGTAATTTTGTTTCTAAATTTGCCATTCCTGTAGTATAAGGGTTAAGTCTGTATGATATGTAAATGAGATAAGTATACATCATCACAGGAAGTGATGTCATATGAACATACTCTGTCATACAGCCTTGTGGTAAGATGAGGCTACAGTAAGATGTACCTTAAACAAAGTTAATGCTTTGTTGGAAATAATATTCTAAATAATGACATGGACATGGTAATTATTATTGATTAGTGACATAGTGGAAGTGTTTTATTTGTTAGTGTGACATGAAATCAACATATTGATCATTCAAACTTTAATGAATCTGGATCTTCAGCATCCATAGTCACTTGTTTTAGTTTAGTGAATCTGGTAGCTGAGTGCAGAACAAGAAATCTACAATTGGCGCAAAGTCCTAGGATAGTGTGGCATCTCGGTTAGCTGTTAACAAAGGGAAAAAAAATGGAAGATAGTGATAAAGACTGAAAGTAAAGTATTTCATCTAAAATAAGGCCCTAAAATAAGTGTTCATGTTTGCTAGTGTCATATTCAGTGCTATTTTAAAGCTCCTGTGAACGAGGAAGATTTGAATTAGGCAGGTAATCCACTTCTCTGTGACTTAAATGCTGCACAAAAGGAAATCTGGTGCAATTACTGGTGTGTAACTTTTGGCATTGAGCCTTGCATAACAGTTTCTGATGTGAAACAGAGGGTAACCTAACAGGTTATTTTCATATCACAATTTTGATGTGTGGACCAGCAAATGGAATAATAGCACAATGCATTATGGGTATCTAAATGTTTTTAAAAGGTCAAACTTCCCAGCTGGCATTTACACATTCTGTAGTCATGGAGACAGCTATTTTTGTAGATATTGGCAGCACCACCACCTAAAATGGAACAGAGCTGAACATGCAGATTGCATGGGAAGATGCCACAGATTGCTTCAAATATCATCACTGCCTTTCCTTTGCTTTTCAAATCCACAAAAAATTAACAAATTAATCCTGCAATGTTCAGATTTAAATTGTGTTCTTAGGATTAATTTATATATTCCATTTGAGCTAATGATGCAAGTCAGTACTTTATTACCCTTGAGTTGCTTTTGAATTTAAGTAATTCAGTGAGTTAACAGCATATCTGCAAAGCAAACAAACTATTCTGGACTTTAGTATTCAGAGGAGTGACACAGGTGTACCGTGCAATTGTTGAACCCAGGAAATGCTTTAAGACCAAAGAGCTTTCTGGAAATACTTATCACCTTTTGCACTCAAGTTTAATGAAAATGGCTGTCCATATTGGAAATGTTTTTGCGTTTTGAAAAAGTGACTTATTTAGAATAAAGAGAATTTAAAGAAATGTAAGTAACTTTCAAAACTGTTAAATATTTCACAAAGTCAGCATGACATACTCAAATGTTGCTTGTAGTCAATTTCTTTGAATAACCTGATTTCCACAGGACTGAACTCTTACATGATATTTTCTTGAACTGTCATACTACAGGCTGGCATACTGCTACTGCAACTATAGCGTGCATATCAGGACTGTAAGTGTATTTTAAATACCTTTTTTTTTACTTTCTAAGAACTCAAACCTGAAAGCATGTTAAAAAAAAAGCTGCTAAACAGGGTTTGAGTATATCATAGGTACTGAGGTGATAAATTACTACTCCTACTGTCTGTTTAATTGCATTCATCACAGGGAAACATGTTAACAGGTGTAAGCCATTCAGAGTCTTGAAACTATTAAAATATTCAATTGAATCATGGTTGATCTTCTTTTAAGACGTTTACCCAGACTGCTTCAGCAACCCTTAATATCAGTGGCTGATTTAAAAATAAAGATGATCAATTTATGTTTCAGTTGATAGGGTTACAACAGCTTTTTGGAAGGAGAGAGTTTCAGATTCTGCTACCCTTTCACAATTTCTGTGATTCTTCTTATGTGTCCGGTAAAATATTACGGTACATTTGATTGCCTTTTCCACTTTTTGCTTCCATTATCTTAGTTGTGTTACACGTTCAAGCAGCAATCTTTTTAATTTACAATGTGGTGGAACATGTGTACACTCAGCATTGATAGAGTGACAATAGCAGCTCTAAATTAATAGTGTCCCAAGGAAGTTTGCAGCCATGTTTTAAAGTAAAATGTGACTTGGAATTTGAGAAGGAAATATTAGGCCAGATGACCAATAGCTTGATAAAAGTGAGAGGTTTTAGAAGATTGTTTTAAAGGAACAAAGTGAAATAGGGAGACAAAGTGAGGATACTGTAGAGTTTAGGGCGCTGACAACTGACAATATATGTCCAGAAGTGGGGGGTGGTGTGGTGGAAAGTTTCACGTAAAATGTTTAATGACTACCATGGACTAAAGTGAAAGCAATTTGCAGAAGAGGTAAAGATCACAGTGAGCCAGCTAGTGCATTATGTATGATTGTATTTCTCTAAATATTCTCTATTTCATAAACAAAAATTGTATGTAGTCCCATTAGCAGCCCCAAATTACCAAATGCTCATGGTCAACAAAAGACTTTATAAGTCGTTAACAAAACTGTGAATTTTAGCCTGTCCCATTTTATTTGTTGCTGCACATGTTGAGGATTAAACTAATTTGCCAGTGGAGTGGGATATAACAGAGGAAGCCCAGTTGTAGGTGTTAGACAAGTGTAGAAAAAGAACCCAAGTCATTCTAGAAGCCAATGCAAATATAGCCAAGGAGCATGGGAGCATGCCAAGCCAGGTTAGTGTTTAATTTACTACAAGGAATCTTATAAATCAGGCAAGTGGATTGAGGGTGTATCTTTGCTATCACAGAAACAGGGATGAGGAAGGGACAGGATTAGCAGTTTATTATTCTGGGCTGTAGAATCTTCAGGAAAGATGATGGGGGTGTGATGTAAAAAAAAAGTGTCCCAATGTTGATCAAGGAGTCAATTACTGCAGTAAGGAAGAACGATATCTTAGAACGTTCCTCGAATAACCAATTGAAATATTATAACACAGGATCTGGCCAAAGTAGACTGAGAACTACTGCTTACACAAAAATACACATCACAGCAGTGAGAGTTATTCAAAGGGTTAATAGTGACAGTGCAGGGCCAACATGTTCCTCTAAAGGTGAAGGGCGGAAACAAGAGCATACAGGATCAGACAAGGAAGAAGCTGATTGCAGAAACAGGGGGCTTAAAACAGTGGATGCCCTGGAGAAATTTTGAAAGTGCAGGGGGTTACTTAAAAAATAAAATATGAGAGCGAAGAAGGATCATGAAGAAACACTGACAGCTTCCATTAAGGTACATTCTGGAATGAGTAGGATCCATTAGGGACCAAACTGGTAATCCATGTATGAAGCCTGAAGGGATAGCTGAGATTTTAAATGAGTATTTTGCATCCATATTCACTACAGGGAGCAAAGGTAAAATAAAAAAATCAGGGAGGTTAATGTGATATATTTGAATAAATCAGCATTGGAGGGAGGAAGTATTTGTTGTTTTAAAGGGCCTGAATGCGAATAGGTTCCCAGGCCTAGGTGAAATGTGTTCCAAGCTGCCGGGAGCCACAAGGGAGGAGATTGACACAAGTTTCACTGACTGTCCTGGGTCACTGGGGCTGCCAACTCCTCAGTCTTGTCTTTCAGGATGTATTTGAGGGCAGCCAGATCCTTGGCATTTGCTGCATTGGTCTCAAACTCTCATCCTCTTCGAGATTATATTCACCAGGGACATATTCAAGTCCTGTTTTTTTAAAAAAAAAATCTTTGTAATATTCTAGGATCTAATTGGTAGACAATGACTGTGTCACCTGTGGAACGCTAAAAATCACTTCTGATGCATGATGGATTTAGACTTGTTTCAACTGAGATCAGTGAATTTTGTTTAATGTTTACTATATGTAACTCCACATCTTCATTCTTCCCATTGCATTGGGCTCTCCCCTTCATTTGTCCTTTTGGGAAGAGTATCATTCCATCGTATAACCTCAATGTTACTGTTGTGGGCTTCAATATTGAGTCATAATCTTGAGCTACACCACACAGGCCTGCAAAGCCCAGTTTATTACACTGCTGTCTGGCTATCTATCTGTATTTCACATTCACTTGATGCTGTCCTTCTACAGTCCACATTCCAACAGTCGCAAGCCATTTATTGCCTTTAGATCTGATGATGCGAACACATTGTATAGTTACGAGTGATTTATTGGAATCATCATCTGGCATCATTCCAGCAGCCACCTTGATTGGTTTGCTTCTGTCTAGCTAAACACTTGTGTGCAAAATGATTCAGCTTCCTGCAATTGGAGCACTGCTTTTCCCCACTCCGGGCATGCTTTTTTTTGTGTGTGGTGTCCTCCACAGTATGTACAATTTAACCTCTAGCTTTTATCTTTCTGCTGACCTTGTATTTAAACTAAAAAACATTTCTTGCTTTGTATTCCAATACGATGTTCTCATTCAGCCTGGAATGTATCATAATGTAAAATCCTGCCTGTTCGCCTGTTAATATACTCTGGACATGGTGACAGCTTTCTTGAGAGTAAGTTTCTCCTCTTTAAGCAGACATATTTTTATGGCAGGATCTCTTACGTCTAAGACAAATCCTAACTCTGATAAGATCATCTTACAGTTGTCCAAGCTCAGTCATTCCAGTCAGATACTGATCAATATTTTCCCTCAGCTCTGATGTTGTGCATATTCCATCCAATATTAAATAGTGTGTTCAAAGTATACCTTCAAAGCTTTCCAAATTGCTGTCTCCTATTCAGATTCTCTGCTGTAAGTGACATTTGGGTTGCAATACAAGTTCTAGCACACATTCCCCAGATTGCAAATCATGTTTTTATAGTTCCTTTATTTAATTCTATAGCTATTTCATAGTTTTACCACTGATGGTGAAAATAAAGTTTAATTCTGTATAATATCTCCTCCTTCCATTTGCAAAGCAGCAGAGTGTGGAAAATTCTGGCTTTTCTGATTCAGTCAGCACTTCAAAGTTACAAACTGTATTGAAGTTTAATTCTTCATTTCAGATTTTGAAAGTAGCCAATTCTCTTGTAGCTCCATCAAGTGACACAATCTTAGCTGCATGCTTTTGATATCATATTTTGAATAATTTGTTCAATGGCTACAACAAAATGAAAACAATTAAACTATACTTGCATTTCTTCAATCATGGAACAATTCTAGTTGGTGAAGTTCAATAGGTCATTAATACATTACAGATATCTTGGAGGTTTGTGGGTCATTAATACAGTGCAGATATCTTGGTGGCTTGTTGCAAGAATATGGAAAGATTGGAAATCAAATGAGAACGAAAATGTTAAAATCATGGCATTGCTTGACTGAGAGTCTTATAGGGCAGCAGCAATAGTGCAGAAGGACTTGGTGACTTAAGACGTGAGTAGTAGAGTTTTGGACACACTCAAGTTTATAGAGAGTGGAAAGTGGGAGAGAAGCCAGCAGTGCAGTGGAATAGTTCATAGAAACGCTACAGTCTGGAAGCAGGCCATTTGGTCCATCAAGTCCACACCAACCCCTACAAAGAGTATTCCACCCAGACCCACCCCGCTACCCTATCCCTGTAACCCTGCATTCCCCATGGCTAATCTACCTAGCTTGCACAACTTTGGACTGTGGGAGGAAACTGGAACCCCTGGAGGAAACCCACGCAGACATGGGGAGAATGCGCAAACTCGTCACAATCATCCAAGTTTGGAATCAAATCCGGGTCTCTGGTGCTGTGAGGCAGCAGTGCTAACCACTGAGTCACTGTGCCAGCTTAAGTCATGTTTAGAGGACAAAAATATGTATGAGTGTGTCAGCTGTCGATGAGCCGAGATAGGTGATGCGATCTTAATGATGGCAAGGATATCATATCTTAAGTTCATCTCAGGGCAAGATGGTGGGATAGAACTCAAAATGAGCTGGTGCTGGGTGCTTCAATAAACATTGGAAGATGCCAGGTGAGGCACAGAGGGAAACTACTGTCCTTATTAAGGTGGGAATCCATCCTATGACAGGCAAAAGAGGAAGGAAGTTGAGGAGTACCAGATTTCTGGGATAGGGAATTGGGAGAATTCTGAGATGGAGAAGTGAGAGGTGGTATGACAACAGAAGGGAGGTTTCTTGGCAGAGGAAAGAGAAAAGTTAAAAAGAAAGAGTCACAGTGAAATGAAAGCGATGGGCACAAATCCAGAGCAACAACCAAATGATGCATGAGAATTAACTTGAAGAGCTCAATAAAATCTAATTACTACACACAAACATTAGAATACACACAAGCCTAAGGAAATAATAGAAAGGAATCCAGAGTTAAAGTTAGGGGTCCCAGGGTGGGACAGTGACAAAACAGGCAGCATGAAGCATCCACAAATTGTCAAAATTTGGAAACGGGCGAAACAATTGCAGTCCAGATGCTATTTGAAGGTGAAACATTGGAAAATGCACTGATGGAGGGATTTTTGTAGGAATGAAGATCCACCGATTGTATAGAGCCAGTTACAGGATCAGAAATATGATGGGACAGTCTGCAGATACCATAAGATACAAAAG